GCTATGAGTTGCTGCAGCTTAGATTCATTTCCATAGGGAAATCAGCATGCAAAAGTGTTAACATAATACAAAGTAGAAAAAGTTAGAGGAGGAAAGATGGAAGACCAATCAGTACATTTCAACAGTCTGTTACTGGGATATCAACAATCTGTTACAACTAAATCTAATTGGCAATTGATTTCCATTGAAAGCTTCATAATCAATATGTCAGTTTTCTATGCAATGGAAGTCATAATAATACTTTCTAACCAAGGATGGGATGTCTAGGGTCACCTGGATATTGTTGGATCAGAACTTTCTTCAGCCCAACCCAACATGGCCAATGGTCAGAGCTGATGGGCCTATGAGGCCAATAATAGGTAGTAGGGCTTTAGAATGATATGCATGTATTTAGTCATAGCTCAAGCCCTATTCATTCATTATATCACATCAGCATGTGATGAGGGGAGCATTATAGTTACACTTTTCCATCTCTAGTTCTATTACTCTCCCCAAGGCTATATATGCACCAGTAATCAAAATTTATTTAGCACAAGAGCACATGCTTGTATATGTCATCAATATGAACCTATTCTCTTGTTCATAAAAGTAGAAATGAAAATTCAGAAATATTAGAAACTGTTTGAAGTTTCATATTTTGTTATTTAAATTTCAAAATGGAAATTGTACATAAATATTCATGATTCTCTTTATTCTTCTAAGTCATCTGTCAAGCAGGGTGGAATATTGGATGCTATCCAGTACCAGCTATCCCATATGGCAAAATGTTGATCAGCACATGTGAAATCCTCCCAGTTATTCACCATTACTTATGCCTATAGACAGATGTTGTTAAATGTTCATTTTAAAATCATCAAAGGTCAAATTATGCTGCTGAGTGTAAAGCAAAGTTTGTTACATAGTCCCATTACTGCAGACTACTTAGAGAACAGTCACCACTATGTTGTTGGGTTTTTTTTGTGTGTGTGTGTGGGTTTTTCAGGCTATGTGTCTGTGTTCTAGAAGATTTTATCCCTGATGTTTTGCTAGCATCTGTGGCTGGCATCTTCAGAGAAAGCCTTCAACTTCACAGTCACCACTATATTTGATGGTGATTTTTGAGCACAATTTACTTCAGTACTAGTAGTAGTAATGATTATTAATACCGATTAATTTGACCCAAGTGAAACTATTAGAACTGGAAGGCTTTGGAATGGAAAATGGATGGCATAATATAATGGGATATGGAAATGGCAAGAGGGAGAAAGACCTTAAAAATCATTGTATAAGAAGAGCCCTCCTTGTGGTATGGAAGAGGAATAAGAAAAAATTATGGTCTTGAATCCCGCTTTGGGTTTCTCAGCATTAAGCCCATCATATGAAAGAAGGCCCAACAAAAAATAATTGGATAATGTATGAAAAAGTCGTAATTAAAATACAAGAAGGTTTAAAATTAAAAACAAAAGAAGAATTAAAGAAAGAAGGGGTAGAACTTAATTGGTTTGAGTAATATCAACTAAAAGTGGACTTTAGAAAGGACCAAGAGAAATAAGGATTGGAAATGGAATTAAATAACTTTGACAAAATAGTAAAAGGATATGGAAATTGCTGGATAGGAAAAATTTATAGGATTTTATAAGATTATGAATTACAAGAAGAAACAATCAAAAGTAACATGATAACATGGATGCAAAATCTAGGGAATTCAGTTTCTTTACAGGAATGGGAAAACATATGGAAAGACACCCAAAAATTCACTAAATGTAATACTCTTAAAGAAAACTTTTATAAAGTTTTCTTTAGATGGTATGACCCCCTCAAGATTACAAAAAATCCAGGGGAAAGGAGGAGAACGCTGTTGGAAATGTAGAGCAGAAAAAGGAACTCTTTACCACATGTGGTGGTATTGTAAATCGGCAAGAAATTATTGGGGGGAAATACACCAATCAATGAGCAAAATTTTACAGATAAACATATCATTTAAACCAGAGCTCTTTTTTATTAAATATGCTAGCTAAGATTAAAAATAAGATAACCTCAGATGAAAAGAGTTTAATCCTATATATGATAACGGCGGCTAGGATAGTTTATGCATGGTATTGGAGACAAGAGAATATACCCGACACACAAAAATGGTTTATTAAACTGAATGATTTAGCAGTTATGGACAAATTATCAATGTATGCAGTGGGAGAAACCACACAACAGTATGAAAGAAAATGGAAGAGAGTTATTAAAGATTCATGATAAAGATACACAAAACTATATTAAAGGAACTGTGATATAAAAATAACTTTATTTACAATAGCTATATAAATATGGAAGTTAGTTATAATATAATATAATAGTTATAGAAATATGAAAGCAATAATAAATAACTGGTTTTATTTTAGTTTTCATTTAAATTTGAAGTCATGTTGGATGATAGGGGGAAATCAGATGGGCTTGTTAGGATTATTCTGTAAAAATCTTTGTAAAATATATTGAAAATTATATCAAAGGAACCAGATAAAAGTAGGGAAATTGAAAAAGGGGGGAATGTCTCATTTAAAGAAGAAACAGAGGAAATATTTGTTATAAGTAATGTGATATGACATTTTTTTCGTTTGTTAACACATGTAATGTTTTATCTTATCCACAATAAATCTATATATATATATAAAAAGAATAAGAATGCTTTTTAAATAAAAAGCCAACAGAGAGAATGAAACACCTTTCAAATGCTAAAGTTTATTCTGTAATCCATTTTATGTCTAAATGTAATTGCTAGAATAGATCCATTGAATCAATTGTTTTTTTCTATCTCTTGACTCACCATCAATAACAGTTCCAGGGAAGCAATGTGACCTGAGGAGTGCAGCCCTGTGGTTGCTACCTCATATTGATTGAATATTTGATCACACCTGCAAAGTGTTTGTTGGTGGTGTGTTTCAGGAAAGAGAGAGACACTAATTGCCAAGAAGATAATCTGGCTTCATCTTTTAAAACAAGAATTGGGTAATTAATTAAATCAGATGAATAGGGTGGGTAGAAAGGAATACAATGTTTCCCCTTAGTTTGTGTCTTTAGACATCTAGGGGACTATCAGTAGCAAATTAAAAAGGGCAATCATGGGCAATCTATGATATCCACATGCAATCGTATAGTGAAATGACTGGGATTGAAATGTATCTCAATTCCACTTTCTTCCAAGTACATAATTACAGTAAGAGCCTTTGCAGACTGCCAGAAATAGTGCAAATTGAGTCCACTTTAAGGGTTAGGGTTAGGGTTAGGGAATCATGGGAACTGTAATTTATTGTGGCACCAGAGCTCTCTGACAGAGAAGGTTCAATGTCTCAGAAAAAAAAAACAATTCCCATGATTCCCTAGCACTAACCCTAACCCTTAAAGTGGACTCAATTTGCACTATTTCTGGCAGTCTGCAACCCCCCTAAGTTGTGACTAAAAGGAACTGTTGCTTGTAGTGGTGGACAAAGGCAGTGGAACATCTTTTATGTGCAGAAGCTGTACTTCACAAGCATATTCAGCATTCTGTGCTGTTTTTTCAGGGACCAGTCTACTTGTGTATCCCTCACCTCTACACCACCACAAATACTTGTAACTATCCCTGTTAATGAAGTGAATGGAGAACACATACAGCAAAATTTGGGTATGGGACCAGAAAAAGTGTTAAATGATTTTATATGAATCTTTTCCTCTTGGGTTTTTCCATTTGCTAGGCTTGCTAATCTGTAATAGACAATAATACCTCACTCCCTATCCATTCAAAAATAGAGAAAAATATGATAGATGCACATTTTCTTCACAATACTGAAAGAAGACTTACAAGCAGAGCTTAATTTGTGCCTCCAGCATCTGTTTTCAATGTTAAGGCTTAATCGTGGAATGTATGAAATAAGGATAGATTAAAGTTCAGAGTGCTTCCCTTTCACCATTGTGTTAAGTTGAAAGAGTTCCCACAGACCAGTGCATCCAGATCAGAGGCAAGACAGACTTGTCCTGGCATTTCTTTTGCTAGAAATTAAGCATGGCAACAGCTAACACATAAGAAATCAATATTTAAACATATGCTTAACCTTATACTATGATAGTAAATCTTCACTATTTTGTCCTCACATGCAAGGACAAATAATTATAGTAGTTTTCCTCCTACTGGAAGAGAAAACAAATATTCCTCCATAGTGTTCTTCCTATATTCAGATATCCCAAAGCATTGTAGAGAAATTATTGTGCATAGAAAAACACATTGTGTGCTACTCCACTCCACAGCAAAAACCCTTTTCTGCACAGAATTTTTTCTCCTACAAAACAAAATATGGCCAGAATCCTATTGGGCAGTTATGAATGTATAACCTAAAGTTACACACTCGTGACTATTTCATATTTACAATCCCTATGTAGCCTCTAGTTTAGGGGCTACATAGGGACTGTGAAAGTCAACAGTCGGGCAGCAAACATTGTGATAGGGGGCTGTTACCTTGTCATTTGGGAAGCAGCAAGCTGACATCACATCTTCCTTATACAAGTGATCTCAGACATGAGGGGGAATTGTGACAGGGGTACTGCTTCTGCTTGTTGCAGCAAAGATTGCTCATGGGAGGGTTGGAAACATTATTCAGCTGCTTCCCAATTGATAAGGGAACAGACTCTTATTTATCACAGTGTTTGCTACCTGGAAAGGGGGGGATAGGGACAGGAGTTGCTGTGTAGCACTATAGCTTCATTGTTATGACTCCCCAGCAAGATTCAGACCCATTTTTTTTAATGCAGAATACCATAATTCCTTTCCAACACTTTGGGACATTCAAATTCAGGGAGAGCATTATGCAAGATTCTCATTGGTCTATTATTCTTTCCTGATTTTGGAAACTCTAATTTTTGTCCTGGGAATAAATAATAATGAAGGAGCACAGCAGCAGCAACAACAATATGAGCCATTCCTGCTCTGCTAATATGGTAATACACTACCATTGCTAACCAAACAGGACAATTGACCACCACCACACCCTGCTTTCAGAGCCAGTGTGGTGTAATGTTTTGAGCACTGGACTACAATTCTGGAGACCAGGGTTCAAATACCTGCTTGGCCATGGGTGACCTTGGGCAACTCATACTCTCTCAGCCTCAGAGGAAAGCAAAGGCAAACCCCCTCTGAAAAAATCTTGCCAAGAAAATCACCTTAGGATTTCCATAAGTTGGAAATGACTTGAAGGCATAGAACAACAGCATAAGTTGGAAACTGTTTGAAGGCATACAACAGCCATAAGCAACCTCAATATTATGTTAGTTCTCTCAATGCTGGGGCATGGTAATTTCCATTTTCACTCTCATTCAATTACATATCTATCTGTCCATCTAGCTGTAGCTCTTAGATCCTGCAGTAGACTCCATCTGCGGACCCAGTTCCAACCCTCTGTCCGTAGACTCCTGATTCACCTATCCAACTCAGTAGCAGTATGGTAAATTTTGAAGTGCCAGGGCACATTATGATGATTCCTAACACCATAATGTCCAAGGACAGCCCTACTTATCCAGGGTAGATTTGCAGCCCTTCTGCTTTGTCTCCCATCTTACTCAAGATTGCATCACCCACTTTGATAAGCAATTTAGAACTCAACCTTTCTCCACATAATGGGTTTTTAAATGGTTGTTCTAAAACAGTTGTTCTAAAACACAGCTTGCCTATATTTTTAAAAGTATAAAACATTACATTTCCATGCAAAAGTGCTTGAATGAAAAGTTTAACACAAACAAAACTTATGTAATATAAATATCAATATAAATTAATATTATAGGGGGGAAAACACCTAGAAATGGCATGCATAATATCACCATGATTTCCTTGTCTTTATGACTAAGTTATGCCCACTCAAAAGGAAATAAAAAAAAATAATTCTGCATGAAACTTACAATGAAATCATACAAGAAGTTGCTAGATGAGCAAGAACCCCAGATACCTGTGGTATTATTATTATTATTGTTATTATTATTATTATTATTGAGAGAAGTGAAAACCATGATATCTTCCAAAAAATGTAATATAATAGACACATTCTACAGAAACAGAGATTTGGGGGAAAACCTGCCTGCATTTTTAGGCAAGAGATAAAATAAGTAGGATTTTTCTGCTGCTTTTGTAACTGATGTGAATAATAAGTGGTACACAGCAAGTAGCTACAGTATCATGAACATCAGTAATTTGCACAGGCAGAACTCTGCCAGAAAATGGAAGAATGATAAAATCCCACATTACTAGCTAATATGTGAATTTCAGTGTGAAGCATGCATATTGCAGATAGTCACGGTTAATTGTTACAGTGAATTAATATCATTGTCTCAGCAGATAACATCATCTGTTGCTTCTCTGCTATTGATAGAAAAGTCATTAGGGTTTCACAAAGACATGATTAGCTTGAGGCTTCTTTAGGATAAAAAACATCAAATTTTACAGTGGTGTTTATGCTACAGAGGCAGACTTCTGAGAGGAAACCTCACAGTTGTCCCTAAAGAAGAGACAGAGTGAATCTGCTTTACACTGAATCAGCTGGTCCATCTAATTCAGTATATTACTTAAACCAGACTTTCTCAATCATGACTTCTCAGAACCCTAGCATTCTGCAAAAAGTTGCTATGGGTTTGCATGTGGGGTGGAGAAATTTTCCCTAAGAGTTTAGGGCAGGGATAGTAAACTTGCAGTTCTCCAGTCTGTTGGCCTGTCACTCCCAGTGGTTGTAACCAGCATAGCCAATAGTAAAGAATGTTGTGAGCTGCTGTCCAATAACATGGGGGTGTGTGGGATTGGGGAAGCTAGTAATCTAGATTTGAGGACGAGTTTATTCTGACAGATGAGAAAGTGGCTCATCCTTTAACTTCTGGGGTGAAGGAAAGACTGCTAGAGCACTGATGATATATTGGCTGGAATTAGTACTGATTATAAAGAGAAAAATAAACTAAAATCCAGTTGCCAGTTTAACAGGTGGTGGTTAGAAGTGGAATTCAAAGCATAAAGAATGCAACATGCTCATCAGCATGAGAGTCACTTCATTGCCCAGTACTGGGCAGAGGAAGCTTGCGTTCACTCATCACCATCTTGTTTGTTACAAAGACTCCAAGGAGCCAGGCAAAACCAACTTGTAATCTGAATTCTGTTTTTAGGGCACCAGCTGGCCAACCCTATTTAAATATAGTTTCAAAAGATCAGATCTAAAATATCATGCATATAAAAAAAGACCCTGGGAAAATAGCTCTCTTGCTATCCATGGTTGATTTATAAAACATATTTCTATTACTGAAAATATTAACCTTAATGATATGATCTGTTGGACTAAATATATGGCTACTTTCCAGAGAAATATTTTCTCTGTATACTAGAAACTTCAAGGGGTAATATATTCTTCTCAGGATGTTGAGCTTCTTTGGACATATTGTTTTAGAAACTGTTCTGAAATTTTAAAAAAACAACCACTGACCTTTGCTTTAGGCATGACACATATTAAGACATGTTTCTGCTTTTCTCTTTAAATGAAGTATCATGTCTTATGCCCTAAGCAGATGGGCAGGATAGCATGAACCAAGTCCATACTATCTTGTCCCAGGTCCTGCCCTGGATCAGTCCCTGGGCTGGCATTGTGTCAGGCAGGTGTTTACATGCATGCTCACCATCATGTCATGGATCGACTACTGCCACACATCTTGTACCTGTCTCCATCATTGTGTCTTCTGACAAGACCTCCATTGCAGCCCATAAGGGAGGAAAGGGGACTCCTGGCTAGACTCATGTGGCCAGGTACCCCTATCTGACATCACAAGCCATAACTGGAGTCTTCTGAGCAGACAAGGTGGGATTGTCTGATCTGTCCAGTATGTTCTAGGAACTCCATGGAAAACAGGTGGTCTTTTTAGATCAGGTTAAAGCCCCTTTGGGATGAGACTGGACCAGATCCATTGGTTCTGCATCTGGTGTGCCTGATCCTAGCCCCAGGGTAATGGCTTACATCATCCAGACAGGACGATATGAGGCTGGGGGGAGCATGGTCCTTTCAGCCTTTGAGTACAGGTCCAAAATTATCTTTGCAGACCAACACAATGTTCCTCAGATTCTAAAATAATAACATGAATTAAGATGACTTTGTCCATGTGGTTCCTTATTGGAATCAGATACATAGACACATAGACCCACACATGGTTGTTTAAAATTTTGTTTTAACTTTATTATAATGTAGAAATTAGGAAATGTCACAAGGATAACAATCTGTCCAGTCCTATAAAATACAGTATGCATCTCTGTGAGAAAGGACAATTCCTCTGGGGTGCTACACTATTTCTGGCTGACATTTGTACTCTCTTCAATTGGTGCAGTATATCTTGATTCTGATAGTGCTTTTGATACTGCTTTTAAATTTACACCTGTCAGATTTTTGATCACATCCACACATAACAGTCATCCATGATTCATTACTACTGGGATGTGTCTCTGTAATCCTTAGTAAAGCCATGAGGTTCACAGGATATGCGCACAATTGTTCACAGTGTTAAGTCATGAACTTGCTATTATCTGGCCAGTGACAGGTATCTTAGGAACATTGATCATTTGTGCAAAGTCAAATAACATATCAACAAAGGCAAATTATAAAGGACTAGTGTTATTCTGATATTGTGAACTCCTTATAGGATGCCAAATTCTGCAAAACAGAGTGGGCAATGAGCAAGAGCAAACAATACTTTAAACACCTTTAAAAAGACTATATGATGCTTACAGCGATGATACTGCCTTTAGGATGCCACAAGACCAGATCATATCCCCCCCCCCCCCGCAAGAGATTAACACTGCCCACCCTCTGGAAATTGTAGGATTCAGGCTTTTCATTTTTGATTAGCACAGAACAAACTCTGTTTCAGACTCTTTCTGTGTTTCTGATGTACAACTTTTGAATACACCACTCTGAGGCTTAATAATACATCTATTTTCTCTCTTGCCAGACACAGTAGTTCTTACTTGTTATATTTTACAAATCACTTGATGTAATGGTCATAATATCCATGAAACAGAACTTTCATGACTAGAAATGATCTCCTACATTGAAAATAAAGTCTTTAATGCAGACATTTATTGTACAGCAGGAGACTAAAATATTCAGTTTCATTGACATTCAGTCTTAAATTGAATCATAAATGGGAGAGAGAATTCTAGCATAATGTTCTGCCTTGGACAATGCTGTGAACGAAATGGGATTTTAGTTCCGGATGCATGAGCCAATTGTTTCTTCTCTTGAAAGGTTCTGAGTACCATGAACATTACAAGGTCACTGGTATATCAGTACCCAAAAATAATGTTTCTTTGTTACTTACGCTTCGTTCCATGCCTTGGTGTTCCCAAATGCATGTTCCCCATAATGTGCCATATATTGGAGTTAATCTTGCATAAGTTGCTTGGGCAGTATTTGTTCATATGTATATCCAAGGAAAGAAACTGGTACTCTAGCTGGTTCCTAGAGGCTGAGTATATTTGGAAGGCTAAGCTGAGGAGTGATTACCCAACAAAGTCTAGAGGGCCACATATTCCTCAGGCCCACAGGAGAAATAAAGGCACTCCTCTACAATTTTGAAAAAATTAAAACATTGAGATTCAGAGCCTTTACAGACTGCCAGAAATAGTGCAACTTGAGTCCACTTTAATTGTCTTGGCTCAGTGCTAGGGAATCATGGGAATTGTATTTTTTTTTCTGGTACATTGAACCTTCTCCGTCAGAGAGCTCTGGTGCTATAATAAACTACAGTTCCCATGATTCTCTAGCACTGAGCCAGGGCAGTTAAAGTGGACTCAAGCTGCATTATTTCTGGCAGTCTGTATAGGCCCTCAGTCTTGAAAAACTGAAATCTTCTGATACATTTCAGTGTATTATACTGGATGACAAGAAAGTGATCTGACTCTTAAGTGACACCACTTGAATGAATGTTGTGTGTGATGTGTGTGTATGTACAGAGAGAACTGGGAAGAGGGAAGAGCAAATTCACAAGGTGAACCCCATAGTATAAGTTTAAACTAAACCATATGGTTCTTAATGAAAATAAAACTTTCTAAGATAAATGT